GTAGCTGTAGCAGTAGCAGTAGCCGTCAGTAGTAGTAGCACAAGAAGGTCCCAGGAACTGTGGCAAACACGGGGATGAACGAGGACAAGACAAAGGACATGCGAGAGCAGGCAGCGAAATCCTGCAATTCGAGCTTACGAACCACCCCCGATGTCTATTTCAGCGGTTTTGCGAGGAGCCATCTACAACAAGCTCTGGGGTGAAATGCCGTGGCTCGAGGAGCCGGCCGCAGATAAGCCATGGTTTGCTAAACGACGGTATCTGAGGGTTGCCGGCGAAAGTGTTTGCCTTGCAGAAGAGAGGTCCCAGCGGTTTTGAATGTAACCCACTTCAACCCATGCAGATTTGCCACTTGATGTCAGGATGGTGCGGATGTGGACCTGAGCTGCGAAGCGGGATGAGACATTGAGAAAAAAGCATCGGAAGCTGGTGTCTGCTCCGTCATGGCCACAGCTTTGCAGCATCTGCAGCCTGTCCGAGGCAGCGTGTACTTGGAGGATCATGGGACTTAGTAACTAGGGTTATAAATAAGGTAACTATAATTATAACCACAATTAGGGTACTTATAACCCAAGTTACTAAGTCCCATGATCCTCCAAGTACTTGCTTTTGCCCAATCCGAAGCCCCAAGCAAGGGCTACCTGCCAATCCCCAGCACACAGCTACAGTTCGCAAATGAGTGTTGCAACGGCAGGTGCCAGAGGGCAGCTGCTGCGTCGCGGTTCAGGGTTTCCAGGCTCTCTGTCGGAGTCAGTCTCAGATCAAGAAATCGGCTTAAAGCTTCGAGCTTAGGGAGGTTTGGGGCCTTAGTCCCTGTGCCTCAGACCCGAGACATTGCCCAACGGGAAGCCGCTTGTGTCGCAGCGTGCTGTCGGCGGGACATAGACTTCAGGGCTCTTCAATCGTTCCGTGCGGAGCTTTGCGCGTCCGGGCAGATGTTCAGGACGTATGGAACTTTGGCTTCAAGCTTCCAGGGTTTAGAGATGTTTTTGGCTGATGGTGTCGCTTTTTGGGGAGGGACGTCAATTTCGTGATGGTCGTGGTGGTAGTGGCAGTGGTCGGGGTGCTGGCGGTGGCAGCGTTGCCGGCTCCTTGATCCTCCTGGTCCCCAAATACCTCCTGCTGCTTCTCCGGTTCCCCTGCCTCCCCATCATCGCAAGTCTCTCAGTTCAGTCATCAGTAAACCCTAAACCCTAAACCCTAAACCCTAAACCCTAAACCCCATCAGTTTCCATGATCACCGCGACATATTCAGAGCAAACAAGGAACACAGAGACTTCGAGCTCAACTTCAGCGCAATCTGCGTCATGATGTTTGTAATACTAAATAGGGGGCCCTAATATAGTACCCTAAATAGTAGGATCCGTATTATAAGCCCCAAAATAAGGTACCTTGTAAGAGTATCACCAGCGGTACATCACAGTATTCGAAGGAACGCACTCGAACGCACTCAAGTTCCAACCCGTAGATCCTGCAGGATGCCTTTGGGCAAGGCGGCTCCTTCGCCCGGAGCCCTTGTGCGGTTTCGGGCATCTTCGGCTTTTCGGTTGGCCGCAAAGCCCGAAACTCGATAAACCTCAAAATCAAAATTGAAAGCCTGAAGCCGAAAACCAAAGCCCTGAGGCCCCTCAACCCCAAAGGCCCTAAACGCCTTCGCATTTTCATCTGGGCTTCGGGTGGGAGTTGGAGTGCATGGGAGTTTCGGCTCAAGAAGCCCGTTCACCGCAGAACTTGAAGCCCCATGAAGTGGTACAGGAACATGTTCACGAAGGTGAAGTGTCTTCCAGTACCAAAGACAGAGACAGAGAGAAACGGAGAGACAGAGACAGAGAGGCGGAGGCAGAGAGAGAGAGAGAGAGAGATGATGCCCGGGGGATTTGACAGTCCCCCATGCCCTGGAGAGAGAGAGAGAGGAAGGAAACACAGAGCCGATTACCTCCAACTTCATCTGCAAGATACTCCAATGATTTTAACGATGAGTGCGGTGATGCGTTTATGATGGCGGATGGTGATGGTGAAGATGATGATGCTGCGGGTAGAGTTGACGAGTTTGATGAAGGTCATGGTGACATGTTCACGCCTCATCATCGTTCTTGCTTCGCTTAGTACACGGACCATTGCCGCGTTCCACGTTGCTTTAGCTACTACTATATGTACCTTGCTGCTTTCCCATGGTCAAAATGATGATAGTAACAAATTGCTGTTTCGATGGTCTGTGTTCGTCATGTTCTTGCAATTTCAGGCTGCATTGATGGCCTGTGGGCGTGTCCTTCAGTGGACGCGTGCAGGCACCGAGCACAGATTGGCACAAGAATGCTTCATGTAGGTATGGGTCTTTACATTCTGAACTGGGTTTCACAGCGAACTGAATCCCAGTGAACTGGAAGATGCAAACCAGTTAAGGTAGGAGCTTTAATCATTAGAATAGGGTTTTGGGGTATATTGCACTGTAATTAAAATGAGGAACCCCCAAAACCCTATTCCAAATATTAAGGCCCCTATGTTACAACAGAAGAGAACGGCAGTAGGATCCGAGTGCCAACCGTCTTATCGATACCGGCTCGTCGCTTTTTGTTGAGGTCTGCTAGAGGGTCCGGCTAGAATCCTGGTCCCTGTGACTTTGATGAGATATGAGCATCTGTGGCGCCGTCTCTATGCATCAGAAACCAGATAAGGCAACAAGTACGGTAGCGACGATGATCATGACAGCCTGGCCAGTCTGGCCAGTCAGTAGACCGTAGACTCTTACACAGTAGCGGTCCCCGTCCTGAGCTGTGACCCAGCTCCTGACCGTGATGTCGAAAGTTTCTGCGCGAAACCAAGATCAGCCTCGACGAGCAGCATCGTTCTCCTGCGAGTGCCATTGCCTTTCCCTCTTCGAGCTGCTATGAAAAACACCATCTTTTGTCTCTTCTCTGACCGCAGCTATGCTTACGTGCATCGCATACATGCTGTACAGAGCAAACTTGCCACATTCGCAAACCCTAAACCCTAAACTCCCTAAACCCGTAGCCATTTTGGCTCAAGCATATGGCCCGAGACGTTTTGGGGTTGCCCTTTCGGCCCTGCCCTATCTGTCCTTGGATAACTTCGGTGGGAGGTGGTCTCGGCACTCTCGTGCGGCCAGTTCATCGGCGTGCACTACCACTTTGGTGCTTTGGCCGGCGGGGCGACGTGAAGATCTGGCGGCCGGTTCCTCGCTGTGCCCTACCTCTGTGACCTGGTAACCGTTTCTCTTGTCGGCTTTCTTGAGAACCTTGGGGCCTTGGTGTGGGTGACTTCCTCGAGGGTGTTTTGGCTAAATTCTCGGCAGCCTCGACACTGTCATTGAGGAAAAGACCCCGGGTGACATGGGTTCCATGGCTCCAGATGAAGTCCCCACTCAGCTCATTATCGATGGCGGGGATGTGGAGGACATTGCGGACCTGGCTGGATCAAGGTCGCCCACTGAGGTTGCAGAGGGAGATTCGGACATGGACGTGGAAGGCGTGAGCGTGAAGAAGGAACAGAAGGAAGGCCCAGGTGGCATCAAAGTGAAGAATGAACCTGGGCAACCCCGGCGACTCAAGCTGGAAAAGAGGAAGCGGACGGATGCCAAGGGAAGCCATGATCAACAAGGTGACGATGATGTGGTCGAGAGCCCGACCAAGCGTCCTCTTCCAGGGGGTGATGTTCGAGCAGAAGACCGACCAGTTACGGGGAGCGAGCTGCGACAACTTCTCCAGTTGCATGCCAGCGAGATGAAGGAGGCCTGGCGTACCTTTGAATCCCGCCTCGACAAGGCAGAACAAGTCCAACAAAAGCAGGTGGGTGAGATCTCCTCGCTATCGGGAAGAGTTAAGATCAACGAGAAGGACATTCGAGATGTAAGAAAGCAGCACGAGACCATGCAGCCAAAACTTGACTCGCTCACGGAGGATGTACGGAACCTGAAAGTACAACTTGATGAGGTCCGGAACCAACCACCACTTGGAGCTCGTGGGGGTGAACTTGCTCAGGCTCCTGCACCTGGTGATCCCTGGGGTGAATATCTTCTGAAGCAAGGACGCCAACTTCGCCAACCCAAAGTGCGACAAGGGGGAAATGCCGCTGGAACAGATGTTGCCAACCACGACAACCAGCCCGGAAGCAGCAATGGAGGGGACGTGCTATCAGAAGAAGATCAGCGTACACTCATCATGGGTGGTTGGTTACAAGACACCAGAAAAGCGGTGATTGAGAATGAGGCCGATCTTGTTTTCAAACTACCTGAAGTTGATGGCTTGGTCGATGTGGACAAGATTGCAGTCTTTGGGCCCCGCCGCAGCGTGGGGATGGTGAAATTTGTGGTGCGAGATGGGGAGACGTTTGCACAGATGCGAGAGAGGATGTGGAAAGTCGTTCGCGCTGTGGCACAAGCCAAGCTAATCTTCCCCAGCACTAAAAACATGGGGGAGGAGAAGACAGTATGGATGTCGTTTATGAAGACACGGACAGCGCGGACGCGTACGGCCCATATCAGCATGGCTCGCCGAGTTACCATTGCGCTTGCCATGGACGCCAAAGACGAAGGAGGTGGCGTCGTCCACATGGAACACACGCAGGTGCAGGCTTACGACATGGATTGGAGCGCAGGCACTATTTGGTGCGGCGCCCATAAGCTTGCTTCCTCCACGCACAGAAGTCCGAAGGATGCGGAAGTGATCACGATGAGCGGCGGTTGGGTCAACCTGGATGCCGTTGGACAAGTGGCAGGCTGCACGGCAGGGGTCGCGAAAGCGGCCTTCGAGAGGGAGCTGTGAACGCTGCCGAGGCCATGTTTCACTCCATCCGAGTCGAGCCAGCTTCAGGCTAGTGGGATGAGGATGGAAAGATTACCCCGACAGTGTGAAAAACATCGTTGGGGCAGAGTCTTGCAATGGAATTTGGGTGGTCAAGGGCTAAACTTACTCGACGTGGCCGCCTTGGATGCTGAGATCATTTTTGTCCAGGAAATTTCTAGAGCCGAAAGTGGGTGGAAGAGCGATGATTCCGAGCACTTCCATTGGACAACCTTCAGGGACGATGAGATGTGGAGAGGAGTTGGGGTTGGCATTGCGATTGACAAGCTGGACTGCGTCATCTCGAAGGTCAACACGAAACGGGGCATCTGGATACTGGCGAGGGTGGTTGGTCTGGGGAGGGTTGTCCTTGGGTCGCTTCACTGCTACACCGGGGTGACGAACGCCAAGTACCAGGCGGCGGTCGCTGAGTTCTACAGGAGCTGCCCAGCGGCATGGAGACACCACCCCATGATCTGTGGAGTCGACGTGAACGAGACACCGACCTGGATTGAAAGTGCTGATGAACATGAGAGATCTGGTGTTGAGATCTTGGCGGCTGGCAACAACAACTTCAACCTCCTGGTCGAGCAAGCTGCGGG